TTTCTCTTTTAATATTATTTACAAAATATTTATGGATTAAAATATTTACTATTTTATTTTGAAAAAAAAGTTACTAATTTTTTAATTTTAAATTGAGAGAATCAATATTTTAATTTCTTTAAATTATATAGATTTTATCAAATATTTAAAACGTAATACAAATAACCAAACTAAATGAAAATACAAAACAGCTTACATGTTAGCATAATTTGAACCAATAAAAAGTGTTGGTTCAATTTCATTGAATTTTTGAATTAAATATGTTTTAAAGTGAATAATCAAATTGGTAGGTATTTTTATACCTTAAATGAAAAAATTATATGTCAAATTAAGTACTTAACAATATAATTACAAATTATGTTTAGTTTCATATATATATAAATTATAAACCATCTTAATATTTATAATCAATTATTATGTTTTTATTTATAAATATTTGAATATGTGTAAAAAGTTATAGAATATCACTGATTATATCGGTTAGTGAAACTCTAAGTAAACTAACACTTAATTTTTATTTTTCTATTTCTTCTCAAAACAACATATATATTATATTATAAATATTGTTATAAACTATATTTACAAACTAATATAATGAATTAAACTAAATATAGTTTTTTTAAAATTATGATTTTACTATATTCAAAATCAGAACAAATTATGATTTAGTTGAAAATATATATAATTTAATATACCAAAAAAATGAACCTAAATTATTATGATACCACATATTTAATTGAGATAAAAAAAAATTATTGAAACATAATATTATATTTACTCTATATATAGATAGATTATAAAATGATTTAAAATTTAAAACGGCACATTCGCTAATTATAATTATTTATTTTGTAAATATTGATTCCCGTGCATAACACGGGAGAGTCATCTAGTGTATAAAATCATCAATATGTTTATAAAACTAAAATAAATGTCTTACATAATAAACTAAAAACAGTAATATTGAATAGAAATAAAACAAAATTCTTTCAACTCTAAGCAATATATATCAATATCAGATATTATTTTATAAATATTAATATGTTCTTGGATCACAAAACGTAAATAATTCCAACCAAATATGTGTAAAAATCAATGTGATATCTTGGTAGGAAACGACTTCTAAATTTGTTAAGACATAAACACCAATTTTATATTTATTTAAAAAATGAGTACCAATACTAAATAATTAAATAAATTTAAATATAAACTTTATATTTTTTGGCCGGCATTTGTCCAAATGGACTTAAACCCAAAATAGTTAAATCTATGTACAAGACCGGCTGAATGGGCGAGTGAATAATTGGTCCTCGAGATTACTGTCCAAAGGGGGAAAAGAGGTTCAGATTAAAGCTGTGGCCCAAGCAGTTCCGACATATCCAATGTCATGTTATTTGATTCCACAAAGTATTACTGATAAACTAAGAAGCACGACTTCCAACTTTTGGTGGAGCTCGAAACAAAACAACAGAGGTTTACACTGGATTGCATGGGACGAGATCTGTACCCCTAAGGATTTAGGAGGACTAGGATTTCGCGATCTCCATGATTTCAACTTAGCACTTTTTGCGAAACAATTATGGCGTTTGATACAATACCCGAACTCCTTACTAACACGTGTCCTAAAGGGGAGATACTTTTACGATACCTCTCCTTTGGAAGATCGACGAACATATTCTCCTTCATATGGCTGGCGTAGTATTATGGCAGCAAAACCCTTACTCATCTCGGGGTTACGAAAGAGAATAGGTACGGGTCGAGATACGAGGGTGTGGAGTGAGCATTGGGTTCCTGACTCAGTGGCCCGACCACCTAGGCATGCCGATCATATTGTCTATAGACTCCCCTACCTTACGGTTCAAGCCCTTATTAGGAATGATACCAAGGAGTGGGATATACAACTTTTACAGGAATACTTTCAGCCTGACGATATCCCCTTGATACTTGGGATTAAACCCTCCTGCTCCTCTGCTCCGGATGGATATGTTTGGGACTACACAAAGACAGGAGTCTACTCTGTTAAAACCGGTTATGACCTTCTCCAATCAAACAAGACAAGCTATACGCAGGAATTGGTTCTTGAACCGAGCATCACATGCCTCCAGAGCCATGTGTGGAGGATAGAGGCCCCAAGTAAAATGAAACATTTTTTGTGGCAAGTTATCTCGGGTTGTGTGGCAACAGCAGAGAGGCTCACTTATAGACACCTGGGCACCGATAGGAGTTGTCCTAGATGTGATGGCCCAGAGGAGTCGATTAACCACCTTCTTTTTGAGTGCCCCCAGCCCTACAGGTATGGGCTTTATCGGACTATTCGTCCATTCCGGGTGACTTCCCGAGTACATCTATTTATCAAAACATGAACTTCCTATTTTGGAAGAGAAAAGAGTTGTCTCCCACGAGACCACAATTCGATACCTTCCCATGGATCTGTTGGTACATTTGGAAGGCGAGGAACGACAAACTCTTTAATGGGAAAGTCGTATCCCCGATGGATACTCTTCAACATGCGTCTCTTGAGGCAGAATGTTGGAGGAAAGCAAACGAGAGGGAGGACGCCGACGAGGTCCATGAGGTACTTCCTCCTTTGGAGATCGCGACAGAGCCCCTTGGGACCCCCCGAATCCCAACCTGCCAAATTGATGCATCATGGATCGATCATGGCAGTGTCAGTGGCTTAGGGTGGAGTCTTAAGGATCAAATGGGTTATGAGTGGTTCGGACTACGGGCGTGTAGAAGGAGCCGATCAGCTTTGCATGCAGAGATGGAAGGGTTACTCTGGGCAGTCTCATGTTTGAGAGACTTGCGGATAACCTCGATACGGATTGAAACGGACTGCTTAGACCTAGTAGATATGTCTACTAACCCGGAGGACTGGCCGGCTTTCGCGACAGAGATCGAGATGCTCCAGAGACTACAGGAAGACTTCGAGGATGTGAGTCTGTCTCATATTCCTCGGAGTAGGAATGGTCGAGCTGATACATTAGCCAAAGATGCAAGGAGGAAAGGATTTACATTTTCCCATATAGATCAGACCAGGCCAGACAGAGGTGCTCCTCGGAGGATCGACTTGTTTGTTCACCACTTGATTTAGTTTTTTACATGGGCAGCCGACAAAAAAAAAAAAAAATTAAAACCAAACCCGCTAATTTATATGATTGGATAGGCTCGGACCGGGTGATTTAGCCCAAATTGACATGTATTTATGAGACTCGTCTGTCTTGATGTTTGAATATCCAATAAACATTATTTTAAAAAGTGATTACATTTTGAAAATCGATAAAATGAAATTTATATTTACATTTTTACATATAATTATTTTGAAATGCAAGAGACCAACAAGTTTATAAATTAATTTAGGGTTTATAAATAATTTATAAATTATTTTGATAAAATAATGTATAAATAATTATGTATTAGATTTAAATACTTATACATCGATCTTAAACATTGCATGAGATATAATAAATGTTTTAAAACATTTAATGATTTTAGTGATAATACTCTTCAACTATTTTTGAAAATCGGAACGAAATTTCTCAATTAAGTTTTCAATATTTAAAATATTTAACTTATAAACTGTTAATATCTATCATCTTTTGTCATGGTATTTTAGATGGAATGTGACTGATATTAACGAAATTAAAGTTAAGAGTTTCTTCTAATTTTAAATTGAGTGATTGTTTTAAAATTCATGGGGTTTATTGCCAAAACATCTATATACATTAATGTGTTATGTTGTGGTAGACATAGCAGGTTAAGACCTCGATTGGTACAGCAGATGATAAAGCAGTAGCAGTATGCTGCAAAAGCAGTATGCTAAAGAAGCTGTATGCTTTGATTAAATTTTTCAATAAAGTGATTGGCAGAGCATTATCAGTATACAATTTTAAAATTGTCATAATAGTTAGTAAAATAATATATTTTTTTAAAAATAATATATATATATAATATATATTAATAATAAATAATTTTATTAAAAATAATTAATTTTCATTATGTAAATTATATTTAAAAATTAATTTTTTTAAAAAATATTAATTTTTTGGATATAACATATTCCTCATATATAAAATTATAGTTATAATTTAATTAATTATTATTAAATTATAATTATTATTAAATAAATAAATTAATAAATTATAATTTATATATAAATTATTATTATTTATTTATTGGCAGAGCACTAAATTACTCATATATAAAATTATCATAAAAGTTAATATATAATTTATTTATTAGTGTCTAAGTAATATGTTTATATCGATAATATATAAATTACATTATGTTATGTTTGTTATTAAAAATAATGAATGATATATGTAATTATATAAATTATATTATATTTTAAATGTGAAATATTGTTCTTTTAAAAATAATTAATTATAATTTTTATTTTTATTTTTATTTTTTTAAAATATAAATTTATATTTAATTATAAAAATATTGTTTATATTTTTAAACAAAAATAAATTAATTATATATAAATATTATTAAGTTTTATATTTTATATATGCAAATGCTCTCCCAAAAGCTCTATATGAGAGCATTGAGCAAAGAGCATTTGGAGAGCATTTGCATTTGGTAAATGCTTTTCTAAACGCTTTTTTGCCAAATGTTGATTGGATAATAGAGAGTATAATGCTTATGCTAATGCTCTACCAATCAACCCCTAAGTTAAGCTTTGGAAAAAAAGTTTGCATGTGAAACATGAAATCTATACTTACCTGTCTGGTAGACATATATTCGAAGTTTATGAAAACGCAACTAAGTTTAAAACATTATTTTGCACCCAAGTAACGTTTAACACAATTACGACCAGTAATTACATTTTTCCAAGGTTAAAAAAGTGTATCAGATAGTTTTTAAAGTCTAAACAAGCAGAGTTCTCAAATAATGTGCACAAAAACCAGAAAGAAAAAAAGAGCCAACAAAATGATAAAGCTCTCACGGAGCATACGATTGAGAAGTCACACTCATAGTCAGAACTACCTTGATTCTTATGATTTAAACTTGGCATCTACTAGGTAGTCTAAAAATGCATGAACTCTGGAGTCATCCTCAAAAGCTTCACGGTATTTTCCAACACCTCGGATTTCAACTCTTCGGAGAGTGTTTCTTTCGGGACTGAAGTAGAAAACACAAAACTGTTTCGATGTATACTTCTCTGAAAGAATAATCTCACCTGTAGTAGTCATCCCAACAACAACAATCTTCTCATAGATATCGTTCTCCGGCAAAGTGTAAACATATTCCGACCATTCTTCTGTCTCAACATCCTCTAGAATCCACATATGCAACACAATGGCATTAGATTCATTATATGTCAAGTCTATTCCACATAATTTACCCTTATAGTTGATCAGTTGAGTAACTTGTGGATTACGGAAGCAATCTGCTTCAACAAACTGGAATATCTCAGACCTAACATCAAAGCAACATATCAAGTAACTATCACCTCCATTTTTACCTATGTAATACAAAACCCCATTGATGCATATCCAATGATCACACGAGGGCTCAGGTCTTATCGGACATTCGATCTTTCTCCACTTTTTTTTTCCTGTGGTTACCGTCAGGATTCTATCATCATCAGGACCACCTAAATAAGCCATGAACAATACTTTGAACTGCTTGTCAAGCGGATCAAACCCTAGGAAGCTATTGCACTTTCTGTACCTATCCAGTCTAGGTAAAGTCATATTCCGTCCTGTATTTAAATTGTATATCTGACGCTGCCAACATTCATTCTTTGATATTTGCAAATGAGAGAAATATATCAAACCAGAGGTAAACCCACCAAAATTTGGATACAAGTCTTGAGAGAACCTCATGTGAAAATCAGCAGTTACCACAAGAGGCGACTTCTCGTATGGACTATGAGATGAGAAGAAGAGAAACTCATGGTTGGATCGTTCAAGTGCGAATAAGAGACGTGGACCGCTAAGTATAGACCGCCATAACTTTGACACGCAACGAAACCTTGCTACTGACTTTCGAGACAATCTTGAGAGTATCTCTGGAATGAGATCGGTCGGGATGTAAGCATTATGTTCTCCTCTAACCATGATTGTTTGACTGAGAGAGAGAGAGAGAGAGGTACGTATGAATATATATGTTTATATATAAGCTTTAAGAAGTTAGGGGTTGTTCAAAAAAAAAAAAAAAAAAAAAAAAAAAAAAAAA